CTGTGTCCAGTTTCTCTCGGCCCCAGAGGCCTCCGGTTTTAAGAGCAAGATGAGCAGTGAGAAGCCAAAAGTGACACAGTTATTCCTTTCTCTCTGTAGCTTCCTGGGGGTGGGGCCAAGGGGGCAGTGAGGCTGGGATGCTGGTTCTTTCAAAGGTCCAGCTGCTGACTACTGGCCAACAGATGTCATTGTCCTCTGTCTCCATTTCCATTTCCCCCTCTTCCCCATCCCCACTGCCCACTGTAGCACAAAGACCTAAAGAGTTGGAAAAGTAAAAAGAGATTCAGAAGAAGAGCTGGCCAAACAAAGGGTGGCTGATGCTATCTGATGGGACACAGTAGGCTGAGAGAGTGCCTGGTCTCAGGAAGAATACCTGGCTTAGCACAAGGAGGAGCACACTGGCAAGCCAGTTTTCCTCCATGAACCTCACACTCACTGATAATGTGGAAAGTTGTTTTTATAGTCCTTCAAGGATGGCTGAACCTCCTGCTTAGTCCCATGCCAATTATTGTAAGGAGGAAAGGAGTAGGGAAGTCCTGTAAGACAGTCAGGCTGAAGGGAAGAGGTGACACTCTGCCTGGGCTCCCCAGTTCCCCTCCTCGGCTTCTATGGCAATCTTTCCAGCTTCCTTCCTGGCCACTTCAGACACATCCCTGGAATCATGTCCTCTCTGCTATCTCAAGTTTTTCTTTCTTTTATCTCTGCTATTACTTGGCACACCTCCCAAGGCAAGGTCCACTCCTTCGGCTTCAGTTATCCTCAGTAGGTTGACGGTTCCCAAGTCTCTCACTATTCTGTCTGATATTCAGATTTTCTGAACAGCTCTCTCTCTCTCTCTCTCTATATATATATATATATATATTTTTTTTTTTTTTTTTTTTTTGAGAACTTTAGGTATTACAAGAGGACAGAAGGCAAATAAACTAAGGCCTGCCCTTTCCTCAGCTGTTAGCAGCTCGGCTTTGTGTTTTCTTTGATCTCAGCCTCGTGGTTTTTTCCTGCAGCTGTACCAGCTTAGGCACCTGAAGTCCTCCAGGCAAGATGAGGCTGTCCCTCACCCCACCCCAGCAAGCCCGTGGAAGCTTATTCCTCTCTTTGTTCCAGGAGATGTCTAACCTCTACCCTCTTCGCTGGGTCCGTTCTGCTCAAGGGCTAAAGCTCCATGAAACCCTGGCCTGTGTTCTTGTACATGTAGTTTATTCTCGTTTCTATCCCTTCCGACACACAAGACTCTGTCTCCGTCAACACTTCGATAATTATAAACACAATGCAATGGCTTTCAAACTTGGCTACGTGCTATGATCACTTCAAATGTTTTTCAAAGCTCTGAAAGCCCGGGCTGTCCCCTAGACTAATTAAACAGGTTTTCTGGGGGTGGGGGTGGGTGGGAGGCAGGCCTCTTTATTTTCCAGGTAATCTTAGTATGACCCAAATTTGAGACCCGTATATCCAGAAGGCATCAGAACTAAGAGAGAATACCATTGTGAGTTGTAAATACACTATGAAAGAATGCTGAGTGGTGGTGTCCCACTCCTTTAATCTGAGCACTTGGGAGGCAGAGGCAGGCAGATGTCTGAATTCAAGGCCAGCCTGGTCTATAGGGTGAGTTCTAGGACAGCCAGGGTTACACAGAAAAGAAGCCTTGTCCTGAGAGGCTTGTATTGAAACATATATGTATATTTACTTTGATTGGTTATTGAGCAAACAAATACAAGGGGAAACGGTAAAGTGGCTTTTGATTTTTAAATTTTATTTATTTATATTATTATTATTATTATTATTATTTGTGTGTGTGTGTGTGTGTGTGTGTGTGTGTGTTTATGAGTGTGGGTGGGTAGGTGGGAGTGCCGGAGCCATGTGAAGGTCTGGGACTTCAGTTTGTGGAGATGCTTTTCTCCTTTCCCCTTTATGTGGATGGAGTGTTTCTGTAGTGTCCTGGTCATCACAGTTGCCTAACACCTCTATGTGGATTCTGGGGATTAAACCCAGGCCACGGGGCTTGCTCAGAAAGTACTTTTTCTGTCTGAGCCATCTCACTGGCTCAGAAACCCAAAGTTTCTGAAACCAAACTGGCCTAGACACCCAAAGTTTTAACTTTCTAAAATTTTATATTTATTTATTTATTTTTGAGGCAGGGTTTCACTAAGTAGGTTAGCTGTCCTGGAACACACAGTACAGATCAGGCTGGCCTGAATATGCAGAGATCTCCCTGCCTTTGCCTTCCTAATGCTGAATTAAAGGCAAGCACGCCTACACCTGCTTTCGAGGTAGGGGCTAAAGAAACGGTGGAGTGGTTAAGAGCACTGACTGCTTTTCCGTAGGACCAGGACTCACAATGGTCAGCAACTCCAGTCCCAGGGTATCGGATGCCCTCTTTGGGCCTCCAAGCATGCCTGCTCACACATGGTGCACATATATACACACAGACATACACACATATACATGGGTAACAAATAAACAAATAACAAAATAAATTGAGATGTATTTTTTTTTTTTTGTCAAGGACACACAAATGTGAATTTGTGTCCTTCTCATTGATTGCATCATATTGAGAAGTACAGTGCTGCTAAGGCTGGCAAGATGGCTCATGGGGCAAAGGCACTTGCTATACCAAGTCTGGGATGATGACCTGAGTTCCATCTCTAGGACCCACATAGTGGAAGGGTAGAAATAACTTCTGAAAGTTGTTCCAAAGGAGCACCATAGTATGTGTTAGTGCACACTGCACACACACACACACACACACACACACTAAATAAATAAATAAATAAATAAATAAATAAATAAATAAATGAATACTAATGATAATTTAGGCTGGGCTGTGGTGGCGAATGTCTTTAATCACAGGACTAAGGAGGCATATGCAGGCAGACCTCTGTGAATTCGAGGCCAGCCTGCTCTACAGAGCAAGTTCCAGCACAGCCAGGGCTATGTAGAGAGACTGTCTCAAAACAAACAAACAAAGCAACAACAACAACAACAACAACAATTTTAAAAGGGCCTGCTAAGGTGATTGATGTTTCTTACCCCTAAAGTTACTATTTCCCTCTTGTATTATAAAGTATCTTGTGGAGAGGTTTAAAAGAAATTATTGAGGCTGGATGTGGTGGTGCATGCCTTTAATCCTAGCCTTTAATATATGTTTAATGTTTTGCTTTCCTGTATGTTCATGTATCACTTGTGCGCTTGGTTTCAGGAGACCAGAAAAAGGTGTCAAATCCCCTGGGACTGGAATTACAGATGATTGTTATTGAGACCAATTAATGAATGATGATGCACACAGCAGATTTTATATAAAAGAGGTTTAGAGGTTTATTAGATGGAGATGAAGAGAGAGAGAGAGAGAGAGCAGGACATGATGGAAGAGAAGGGGCGCCCCAACAGAGAAAAGGGAGTGGGCAAGGGCCAAGAGAGCAAGAGGGCAAGAGAGGCCGAGAGAGAGAGAAAGTAGTGGGTTGACCCTTTTAAGGAACATCATAACCATGCCTGCCAGGCGTGGCCATCTGGCCTGCAGACACATGATGGTATCATAGGTTGCTAGGCAACCCAGAAGCAGGTGCCTAAATACTAACATTCCTCCCTTTTCTGAGAATTAAAAAATGAGGAACTTGGGCTGCTTTTCATGTAAAACAAGACAAAGTCTATAAATTTAGGTTCCTTGGAAGCAGCTCTTGGTTGCTATGCAAGGGGGTAAGAGAAAGAAAGAAAAAAATAATAGCAACAAAATGGCCAGATTACATGGTCAAGAGTAGGAGGGGAAGCCCCTGCTCTGGAATGTTCAGGGTAGGGGCTTGCCAGTAGAGAGTTGCCAGCCATGAAGGCAGCAGGTAGGGACTGAGGAATGCTGGGAGAACCTGGAACTGCTTGTCCTGGTCCTGAAACACACCATTCCAGCCTTTTGTTAATAATAACTGAATAACGGGGGTAGATTCTCTTCCTGCTGACACTGGGGGCGCTATGGGGAGGTCAAAAGGCTGAGATGCTGGCCAGGTCCAGGAAGAACAGGCTGTTTTGATGCTGTCCAGGGTCTGTGAGAACATCCATGGCTGGGAGGGAAAGTGCAGGTCCAGCTTGATGGAAGTCTGTGAGGTCAGACTGGAACACCTGTGGTAGCTGCTTTGGCGCTGTTGCGGATCAAAGAGACTTAAGCACGGGCACCTCCGTTCACCTGAGGGAACCTTCATTTACCCACTCACTGGCAGTAATTAAAAAGGCCTTGCTTTGGATCAGTCTAAGGAAACTGAGGCCATGTTTGGTTACAGAAGTGTGTAAACTTAGAGGCCTGGATACTGTGCGTGCTGGAAATTGAACCTAAGTCCTCTGGAAAAACAGCGTTCTTAACCCCTCACCCAACTCTCCAGCTCTGTGAGGAAATATTTTGATACAAGGTTATATATTTTAGGTGAAAAGACTGACAGAAATAGGATAATCAGGACTGGAGAGATGGCTCAGTGGTTAAGAGCGTTGTCTGCTCCTCCAAATGTTCTTCCAAATGCTCTTTCAAACGGACCCGGGTTCAATCCCCAGCACCCACATGGCAGCTCACAACTGTCTGTTAATGCCATCACACTGTCTGAAACCTTCACACTAATGCACACAAAAGAAAAACTAAACAAATTATTTTTAGGAAATGGGACAATCAAATATATATAAAACAGGAACTTAGAGCCCCTTGGTATTTAGGGTTTCGGTAGCTGCGAGGCGTCAGGATGAAGAAATTCTAGGCGGGCTTCCGAAACTTGAGATGTGAGTTATCTAAACACGGCTGGGGACGGTGTGTTGGCAAATGAAGTCTTCAAGAAGGTGTCTTGTGGCTCCAGGAGGATTTCCCCACGGCCTTGCCTGTCCTCTGACAGCGCCACCTAGCGAAGCCTCGGAGTGGCGCTGCGGCCACCTTCGCCAAACCACACACCTGCGAAGAAGGAAGCCCAGGTGCTCGGCACGCCGAGTGCGCACGCGCACGGAGGGGAGGCGCGGGGCGTGGCCGCGGCGCAGGGGCGTGGCCGCAGCGCGCAGGCGTCCTAGTGGCGGGTGCCTGCGTCTCAGGATGGAGGGTGAGTGAGTAAACAAGCCCGGGGCTGGGCGGTGGGGCCGGGCCTCGGCGTGGGCTGGCGCCGGAGGCTCCGGGAGGGAGAGGCGAAGAGATAAGGCGACTCACGGGAGGGAGCCGAGGGGTCACCCCATTGCCCGGCCCCGGGGTAGCGCGACGGAGGGTCCCGAGTGCCGTGGGACCCCGGGGCGAGAGCGCGTGCGAGCTGCTGGGGGCCGCGTTGCGGGGGAGGCGCGACCGGCTCGCGGTCCGTGGCGTCTGCCGGGGACCCTGAGTCCTGGAGGCTGGAGGACCAGAGGCCCGGGCTGGGCTGGGGGTGGGGGGAGAAGGGGACGGGCTTTGGGGGATGCTGAGGAAGGGGTGGCCAGGCCGAGGGGACCGCGAGGTGAGCGAGGTTCTTAAGGCGCCCAAGATCAAGGGTCGAGGCTCCCAGGGTCTCGGGGCGCCTCCACCGCCTTCTGCTCCCGCAGCCTGTCGCCGACCCAGCCCGCCTCGCTCCCAATTCCGGGTTTGAATGGGGGTTCACCTTCACCCCGGGGCTGTCTCTCCGTGCCCAGCATGCTCTGGGGGAAGCAAAGCCATATAAACGGAACGTGCCCCGAAGTTTTTAAGAGGCAAGGTGTTACATTTGGGACGCGCTGGTCAGAAAGGAAATGCGGGACAAAACTTTAAAAGGATTAAAAAAAAATACGTTTAACTTTTATGCGTGGGAAGGTTTTAAACGCCTGGCGTGTGTGTGTGTGTGTGTGTGTGTGTGTGTGTGTGTGTGTGTGAACTCAGTTAGGGATGGTTATCCACCTCCATGCCGGGTGCAGGGAACTGAACCCATGCGTGCTCTCCGCCGGAGCAACAAGTGTGCTGATCCGCAGAGACGACTTTCCGGCCAAAGTATGGAACCTGTTCCTTGGGGAAAACAGCCAAGGAACACAAATAACTGGATCTGTACAGGGACTCCATTGAAAATGTAGGGTCCATTGAAAATGTAGGGGCCGGTCGTGGTGGCGCACGCTGGTAGGGTTTGCTGAAGGAGGTGGAGGCCAGAGGACCACGAGTTCGAAGCCAGCCTGGTCTACATAGTTTTACCCCGGTGGTGGTAGTGGCGGCAGAGGATGGCATACGCCTTTAACTTTTAGCACTCAAGAGGCAGATGTAGATGGATCTCTTAAGTTCGAAGCCAGCCTGGTCTACAGAGGGAGTTCCAGGACAGCCATGGCTGTACAGAAACCCTGTCTTGAAAAAAAAAAATGTAGTTTTTTTTTTTTTTTGGCTTCATAATGCCCCAGAATAGGAAATCACACACACACACACACACACACACACACACACACACAATGAATTTTTTTTGCTTTGTTTTGAGACACGGTCTCTGTGGAACTCTCCATGCACAGCACACCAGGCAGGCCTCAAACTCACATGATCCTCAGGCCTCTGCATCAGTTGTGTTGGGAATTAAAGATGTGGGTCACCACACCTGGCTGCACCCAAAAGATTTTTAGATGAGGAAAGGGCATTGACTGTTTCTCCAGCCTGAGGAGTTATGAACTCTGCCGGAATTTTGATTTTCCGGGAAACCCCTTTTCAGCTTTGGAAAAGTAGTGACCCCGAAAGCGAGAGGACCAGTTCACATAGTAGTGCATGCTGGGAGAGAGAACTTCGTAACAGACTAACATGGAATCTGGTTGTGATGGTGCAGGCTTTAAGAACGGAACAAAGAGCCATCTGTAAAAAGGCAACATTGAAATGGATGTGGCGCACACGCCCTTCTGGAGCCTACATGATGTGCTATCTTCTGACCCGCTCTAATATTTGTATGTGGAAGTCTAACTGAAGAGTCTTGTTTTTAATGGTAGTAGTGGATGGCCTCTAACATTAAAACCTTCTGCTGGTGTAGTTCAGAGCCAGTCGAGGATCTGGAGCAGGCTGCTGTAGCTCTCCCTGATCATCCTTGTACATCTCCAAGCCAGCATTTTCCTCAGTTCCTGGGAATAAAATCCCCCCCTCCCCAACCAAATCTGATTTGACTTTTGTTGCTCTTTGTCTGCAGCGGAAGTGACCTGGCTCTATGGAACACTAGGGCATACTAGAGTTGGTTAGTTAAGATGCTGGTGACAGCAAACTAGGCTGGTGGCACATGCCTGTAATTCAGCACTTAGGAGGTAGAGGTAAAAGGTTCAGCATTCAAGGTCGGCCGGGACTAGCAAAGTTGAGGCGAGGTAGATGCAATCCATGAGATTCTGGTATACTGTTGTTGTTTTATAATTTATTTTATTTTATGTACATTGATGTTTGAATGCATGTATGTCTGTGTGAGGATGTCAGGATTACACACACCCACTGGCATGTGGGTGCTGGGAAGTGAACCCAGGTCTTCTGGAAGCACAGCCAGTGCTCTTAACCACTGAGCCATCTCTCCAGCCCCTTTTTGTTTTTTGTGGTTTTTTTTTTTGAGATAGGGTTTCTCTGTGTAGCCTGGCTGTTCTAGAACTTACTCTGTATACCAGGCTGGCCTCAAACTCTAGAGATTCAGCACTCTCTGCCTCCTGAGTGGTAGGACTAAAGGCTTGCACTCAGCTACACCCAGTTTGAGATCCTGTTTCTTTAAAATCACAATAGCCTTCTTGTGCTCGGAAGGGAAACCTGTGATGTGTAAATACTCTGGAGAAGTAGAATGGTGCTTTGGTATCCAGTCCTTTGACCTTACTGTGAGGCACTGTTATCCACAATGTGTTGGGTTGCATTCATAACTGTCTTGGGATGCAGACGACCTGTGAGGTACAGGTTGGACACACCTGGACAGATACAAAAACATGCCTAGTATCTTAATTGAAGATTCTGTTCCATTGTGTTAATCGGCTCCGGGCTGATTTAAGTACAAATGTTAATGAAATTGAGTATCTATCTATCTTTATATATGCTAATATACGTGATATTGGCTCTGACTGACAATCTCTTCTGAACTCTGAGGTCACTAGCCCTCCCACGGCACACATACATACATGTAGACCGAACACACAAAATAAATCTAAAAGTAAATTTTAATTAACCAATAAAAAAACAAGCCGAGCTAGGTGCTGGTGACACACACATTTAATCCCAGAGCTCAGAAAGTAGAGGCAGACAGATCTCTGAATTTGGGCCCAGCCTGGTCTACAGAGAGAGTTCCTGGATAGCCAGGGCTATGTACACAGAGAAACCTTCTGTCTTGGAGGAAGGAAGGAAGGAAGGAAGGAAGGAAGGAAGGAAGGAAGGAAGGAAGGAAAAAATGTAAAGCTGTAGTGCCTTACGGCTGCAAAGCCTTCCTTTGCTTGCTTTTCAAGACTTGCAGGGCCAGGTGTGGCCTTATTTTCTTTCAGGTGTAGTCTTTACAGGAATATGTGTTTTCAGTTTTCTTCTGTGGCAGGCTGTGTGCTACATATATGTTGCACTGTGCTTCTTGTCTTGCTTTGTGTGCTCACTTGAGCTCAGAGGCTATCTTAGAGGAGCAATATCTCTCTACCATGTGGGGTCCAGGGATGGCACTCAGGTTGTCAGGCTTGGCAGCAAGAACCTTGACTCAAATTTTGCATTCCCGCCTGCAGTCCGAGGAGTATACTTAGGATATCGTAATTTTCTTAAATTTATTTTCATTCGTAATTGTTTATACGTACATGTGAGTGCAGGTGTCCTTGGAGCCCAGAAGAGGGTGTCAGATCTGGAGCTGGAGTTAGAGATGTTTGTGTGGGGGTGCTGGGAACTGAACTCGGGTCCTTGGGAAGAGCAGCAAGTGGTCTTAGCCACCCAGTGATCTCTCCAGCCTCTTGCTGTGTTTAATTTGCATTTTCCATGACTAATATGCTGAGTCCTCTGTGCACCTGTTGGAAATGCTGTTATTTATGGAGCTGAATTTAATTATATGAAGACTTCAGCCCCAAGCAGTATGTTTTGGGGTGTCTCCAGTGTACAATGACCATAATGAAAGACTCCTAATAAGTAACTGAAATATAAGTGCTGATAGAAAATGCAAATAGGAACCTGTCTGTGTACACTCGTATGCCTAGGATGGATGACCGCGTTTCTCTGCAAACCTGTTCCAAGTGCTCGATGGTTTGTTTGCTTTTCTTTTTCTTCACTTTGTTGTGATAACCACTGAGTAGGAGCTAACTGCTTCGCTATCGTGGTGCTGTACTTGAAGTGTTGTGTTGTGTTTTGTTTTTTTAATGTTACTTTTATTTTATGTGTGTGGATGCTTTGCCTGGTGCCAGAGAGGGCAGGAAAGGGTATCAGATTCCCTAGGACCAGAGCTACAGATGGTTGTGAGCTGCCATGTGGCTTCTGGGAATAGAACTCAGGTCCTCTTGAGCCCCATCCAGGGCTCTTAACTGCTGAGCCATCTCTCTAGCCCTTTCACATGACTTTTTAAATCACATCTGCTTCTAAAGAATCTTTCATTTCTTTCTATGTTCTGTGAGGGATCATCTGCCAAATAAGCTTTTAGAGACATAGAAGATAAATCAAAGGCCAAGTGAAATAAACACTGGCTCATGGACAGGCAAGATTCAAATATCACTCAAATTGTAAAAGGAAGTATGGTTTATTTTGCATTGTGGCTAGTTAAAACTGGAGGGCATTTTCATGTGCGTGTATATACTCCTTGCCAAAGAAAACAGTAAGAAAAATTGGAAGCGGTACCGTTAATTGTTGGGTCATTCTGTTGCTGTCATCTCTCAGCAGACTGTATGTAGAGATAACAGTTATGTCCCTTCCTTAGTGAAAATACTGACATTTTTTTCCCGTGACCATTCCCTCTAAGAAGTCTAAGCACAAACCACCACTACCACAACCATCACCCCCACCCCTGTCCCCCATTACCATCACAATCATGGATGGCTCCCATGCCCTCAATACCACCACAACCATCATTCCCACGCTCCCATTACCACCACCATAAACACTGGAATAAAAGTTTTTCCCATTCCTGATCTTTCAGTTGCATAGAGTGATCTGTTCTGAGCATACTATTTCAAAATAAGGAATGTCCCTGTAATCCTTGCACTTGGAAGCTGCTTCAGAAGGATACTGAGTTCAGGAGGAGCCTGGGCTACAAAGCAAGAAAAAAAATATATTTAATGATTTATTTTTATTATGTATACAATGTTCTATCTGCATGTATACCTGCATGCCAGAAGAAGACACTAGATCTTATTACAGATGGTTGTGAGCCACCATGTGGGAATTGAACTCAGGACTCTGGAAGAACAGCCAGTGCTCTTAACCTCTGAGCCACCTCTCCAGCCCATATATATATATATATAAAATAGGTGGAATTGGGAGGGGAAGAGATTTGTAACTTATATCCTATAATCACTGTACTTGGGAGGATCAGGAATTCAAAATCACCAGTAGCTACATAGGGAGTTCAAGGCCAGCCCGGGCTACGTGAGACTCTGTCTCAAAAAGCAAAACCAAAAAAAAGTAGACCGACTTAGGATGTCAGCAGTTGAGAACCAGGCAGGCAGTAAGCCTGTCCTGAAGTAAAAGAGAGGCAGAGCAGGTGGGTCTCTGTGAGTTTGAGACCAGCCTGCTCTACAAAGTGAGTCCAGGATAGCCAAGGCTATGCAGCGAAACACTGTCTCAAAGCCAAAAAAGAAAAAAGAAAAAAAAACAAAAAGATGCTGGAGATTTCAGATGGGGAACTCTGGAGTTGTCATCAGTATGTCCATAATTCAGATGGAGGTGAAAGACACCGAGATTTGAAAATTGTGGCCATGTTGACACATATACGCCTCTCAGCGCTCAGCAGGCAGATCAAATTCAAGGCCACCTGGTCCACATAGAGTGTTCCAGGCCATCTAGGACTTCAAGAGAGACTGTCTCAAATAACCTAACCAAACCAAACCAAGAAAAGGTGATCTTTTGAAAAATCATGAACTTTAGCTTTAGGGGACTTACAGTGAATTTCATGGTGGTAGAGAAGAAATTACAGCATGTAAGATCCTTAAATAAAAATTTATTGACTTTAGCCGGGCGCAGTAGTGCATGTCTGTAGTCCCTGCACTCAGGGAAGCAGAGGCAGGTAGATATTTGTGAGTTCCAGGCCAGCCTGATCTACAAAGCAAGTCCAGGACAGCCAGGCTATACAGAGAAATCTGTGTCGAAAAACAAAATAAAACAAAAAAAGCAAACACACAATCTGAAACCTCTAGTTTCTGTTTTGGATTTTAGCTCTTCATGGGTCCTTGAAGTGGTTTTTGACTCTATGAATAGAAGTAGTTTTCAGGGCTGGAGAGATGATGCAGAAGGTAAGAGCACTTGCTGCTCTTTCAGATGAGCTAGGTTGGTTCCCTGTGCCCACAGGGTGGCTCCCAACCATCTGAAACTGCAGTCACAAGGGACCTGACACGCTCTTCTGGCCTCTGGAACCTACACATACGTGGTGCATATACATTCCTGTAGGCAGTACACTCATACACATAAAATGAAAATAACTAAATCTTACCAAAAAGAAGTAGGACTCTACCAAGCTTAGCTAGTAAGTATAGAGTAAAACCAGATTTTCTTGACTTGTGCATAGAGATTTATTGTGTATACAGCTTCTGCAGGCCAGAAGGGTGCACCGGATTTCATTATAGATGGTTATGAGCCACTATGTGGTTGCTGGGAGTTGAACTCAGGACCTCTAGAGGATCAGCCAGTGCTCTTAACCTCTGAGCCATCTCTCAAGCTCATATGTTTAAAGTTTTAGGTCTACCTGCTGGCTAATTTTAGAAATTGGGTAAGGGTGGAAAGAAGTTTAGTGAGAAAATAAATAATTGAAAGGATACAAGTTTTTTTTTTTTAATTTCATTTATTTTTGTATTAATTACAGTTTATTCACTTTGTATCCCAATTGTAGCCATCTCCCTCCCTCTTTTCCACTTATGCCCCTCCCCCAGTCCATTTTTAGGGCTGTCCTCTCCTCTTCCATCTGATCCTAGCCTATCAGGTCTCATCAGGACTGGCTGCATTGTCTTCCTCTGTGGCCTGGCAAGGCTGCTTCCCCACCAGGGGGAGGTGATCAAAGAACCAACCCATGAGTTCATGTCAGAGACAGTCCCTGTTCCCATTACTAGGGAACCCACTTGGAGACTGAGCTGCCATGGGCTACATCTGTGCAGGGGTTCTAGGTTATCACCATGAATGGTCTAGAAGTTTTTAATTAAGAATATATTTATGTTGTTCACATGGTGGTGCCTGCATGTGTGTATGTGCACTGTGCATGTTTAACGCCTGTGGAGGTCCTCTGCAAAAGCAGCAAGTGCTCTTTACTGCCGAGCCAACTCTCTGGCCCCAGAAGGATAGAATTCTGAACATAAGCAATTTTCTAAATAGCGTTAAGCATCTGTAAGACCTTAATAAGCAAAATGGTAGCAGAGACCCTGAAGTTCTTCAGTTCTTGGGGAGCATCCTGCTTAGGGGCTCAATATCTGAGCATGCTGTATTGATTCAATAAACTCATTTTTTATTCTCTTGCAAAGCTAAACACTTCTTTTTACCTTTAGGTCTTGCCATTCATCTGAAGAACAGAGACACATTATAAAATCTGACATTTTCTCCTACATTCCTCAAGGTAAGTAGAGCATATCCCAGTAAAAATCTCTAAATTTTCCAGCTGTAATTCAACCCTACCCTCAAAATAAAGTTGCAGTGTAGTTGGTATCCATAGGTCTGCTGCTGACTTGGAGGTGAGATTGTTCTGTTGTCATGTGTTTTCATTACTAGAATGTAGAAATTTAGGTAGCGTGTATTGTAGGTGGATTTTCTCCCAAGTTTGTAAGGATTTGGTAAAAAAAAAACTCCCCTTCTCTTGGGGCTGGAGGGATGGCTCAGCAAAGAGCACTGGCGGAGACCACTTCCAGAAGACCGGGTTTCGATTCCCAGCACCCACATGGCAGCTCACACCTGTCTGTAACTGCAGTTCCAGGGGATCTGGCACCCTCACACAGAACCAACAACAATGCACAGAAAAATAAATAAAACACTTTGAAAATCCCTGTCTCCTTTTTAAAAGATGTATTTTTTTATGCATGTGGTGTGTCTCCAGCATGTCTGTCTGCATTGTGTGCATACGGTGCCCGAGGAGGCCAGAAAAGGGTGCCGGGTCCTTTAGAACTGGAAGAGTAGGGAGGTATTTGTGCTTGCAAGTCCTCCAGAGGAACTAGGTTTGGTTCTAGCAGTCATATCAGGCTGTTCACAACTGCTTATGACTTCAGCTGGAGTTCCTAATACTGTGATAACTCAGCTCTAGCCCATGCAGAGATACACATGCATGTAATTAATAAAAAATAAACCCTTAAAACGTGAATTTAGTGACTAGGCATCCAAGTATCAAAAAAAAGTCAAGCCCCTAGTAATGATGAGGCAACAGGGACTGGCTAGGGATTGAACTCAGGATCTGTTGCAGTGCTAGATCTAGAACCTAGGGCCACACACGTTAAACATGGTCTCTGTGCGTGAGCTACACCACGCCGCTCCAGCACTAAAGGACGGTAGGCGCTGAAATTTTTCACACTGAGACCAGAATTTACTCCTGCAAAAGTTTGTTTTCAGTTGAAATTTTAAACTCATATTTGGGCTCTCAGATGTACCCTGTTCATTTGAGTTTGAGGAAGCCTTCCTTTCCAAGTAATCATGTGCTGTTTATCACATCTGTTTTTCTGAGTCCAGGAAAATGGATATAGCAAGCCCCCCGACTTCCAAATGCATCACATACTGGAAAAGAAAAGTGAAATCTGAGTATATGCGGCTTCGGCAGCTCAAACGGCTCCAGGCAAATATGGGAGCAAAGGTAAAAATGGTTCCCAAGAGGGGGGTTATATCTGCGTACTTCTCCAAAGTATGAATGGGTTCTGGGGTTTTCCCTCTGCGACCTGCATTGACCCTTGACAGTCTGCCTTGGCTTTGCTAGGCTCTGTATGTGGCAAATTTTGCAAAAGTTCAAGAAAAAACCCAGATCCTCAATGAAGAATGGAAGAAGCTTCGTGTCCAGCCTGTGCAGCCGATGAAGCCTGTGAGTGGGCACCCCTTCCTGAAGAAGGTACTTTGGAATGTGAGCCGGCCTTTCTTTCTCCTTGGACATGAAGTTACAAAGTTGAAAATTAACCATTGTGTCCTTGTCCTCCTCCATTAATGAGTATAACTGTGACTCTTTCATAGAAAACAAAAACACTGTTTTCCTGGGTTTTGTGTCCAAATAACACAGTGTCCTGTTTTGTTCCTAGTGTACTTAGATTCTAGGAAACAAATTCCCTAGGTAATGGACAGAAGTTTGCTGATCAGAGGGACTGCCTTACCATAAATAAATACATTTGTTTGTGAACTAAATTGAATTATAAATTTAAAAAGCACATTCTAGTTGCTCATAGTGCCAAATGCCTTTAAAACCCAGTTCAGGAAGTAGAGACAGGGGAAAAGGAGTTTGAGGTTGGCCTGGCTACATAGTAAACGAGGTTACCCTGGCTACTTAAGAGGCTGTCTTCTTATTTATTTACTTACTTATTTTTACAATTCATTATATCCCAATTGTAGCCCCCTCCCTTATCTCCTTCCTGTCCTACCCTTCCTCCCTCTTCCCCTGGGAGCCTGTCATTCAAAGGGGAAAAAAACATTCTAGCTTTGTAAAGAGGTAATACTTTTAATTTTTTATTGCATGTATTAATTTTGCTCAAATAACGTGTATGTGGGTGAGTCCTCATGCATGGCAGTCAGTTCTGTCCTTCCACACGTGGATCCCAGCAGTTGAACTCCGGTCATTGATTTGGAGGCCAGTGTCTTTACCTAATGAGTCATTTTAACAGCCTGGTAATATTTTTTAAATACAAAAAACCAATAGTGTATTAACACCAATGGTCATTACCAAAGCAGGATGGAACTCTAGTTTGTGTACTGTCTCGCTTCATGTGCAGTCCCCGTCCGTGCAGCTATATCCAAAGCTTAGATTTTTTAGAAAACATTACTGGGCTGGAGAGGTGGATCAGAGGTTAAGAGCACTGGCTGTTCTTCCAGAGGTCCTGAGTTCAATTCCCAGTAACCACATTGTGCCAAATATCTATAATGAGATGTGGTGCCTTCTTCTGGCATGCAGGTGTACATGCAGGTAGAACATTGTGTACATAATAAATAAATCTTTAAAAAGTCGGAAACATTCCTGGAGCCAGTCGTGGTGGCTCATGCCTATAATCCCAATACTCTGGGAGGCAGAGGCGGGTGGATCGCTGTGAGCTCAAGGCCAGACTAGTCTACAAAGCAAGTCCAGGTCAGCCAAGGCTGCACAGAGAAATCCTGTCTCAGAAAAAGAGAGAGAGAGAGGAAGAAAGAAGAAAAACATCCCTGAACTCAGGCCCTAGCACTCTGAGAGGCCCTCTAGCAGACCATGCTTTGGTTGAAGGGAGCATCTGTTGAGTGTGGCAAACATTGTGCTGAACTCTGAGGGACATAGTTGTGAACAAGAGGCAGTTCCTGCTTCCCACAGCTTGTCAGCTTAGATTCCCTTTAGGAGCTGCTGTTAACGCTCTCCCAACTTAATAGTTTACAAGAATTTGGAGACACACCTCAGTGGTTAAGAGCACATACTGCTTGTGCAGAGAACCTGAGTTCAGCTCCCAGAACCCACTTCGGTGACTCCCGCCCCCTTTAACTGTAGCTCCAGGGATCCGATTCTTCTGGCTTCTGTGGGCACCTACACTCAGTTGTACACAGACACACATAATTTAAAATAAGTCTAAAAAGATTGAAAAGAGCATGGGTGGGGGGGTGGCTCAGTTGGTAGAGCGTGTGCCCAGCACACATTAAACCTGGGGTTGATCCCAAGTGCTCTTGGGGTGAAACTGGCATGACACACATCTGTAATCCTGGTCCTCAAGGGGAAAAAGGGTAGACACTGGGATCTTTTGGGAAGGAAACTGTTGTGTATCCCTTATAGTTTTGTTTTTATTACTTTGGCTCTGTAGCCTTAGCCTAGTCTGGCCTCAAACACTGCAGTTCTGTCTCAGCCCCAAGTGCTGGAATGATGGGCATGAAGCCATCATAGCTGACTTATGCTGGTCCTCTCTTGAGCTGTATGCTTACTCTTTCTTCTCTGTGTTGCTGCTTTTCTTTCAGTGTACCATAGAGAGCATTTTTCCAGGTTTTGCCAGCCAGAGTATGTTGATGAGGTCTCTGAACACTGTTGCGTTAGTTCCTATCATGTATTCCTGGTCCCCTCTCCAGCAGAACTTTATGGTATGTATGAAAACACTATGGAAGTGTTTAAACTGTGTTGTCATTTTATGCTGATCAGTGTGGGCTTCTCTTAGGTTAAAGACTGTCAGGGCATGGCATAAAGCTTGGATCTACAGAGCAGAAGATTATTATCACACAGTTGCTCTAAAATGATACATGTTTACAGGCCGCTGAGAAGCCTAGCAGATACAGGCACCTACCACCAGTCTGTCTACAGCCTGAGTTCTGTCTCCAGGACCCACATGGTAGGAGGAAGGAACTGACTCTTGAACGTTTCCTTTGGCCTCCATATATATGCACGCATACACACACACACACACACACACTGCAAGTTGTTTTATCCAGTTAGATTTTGATGATCTCTAAAATATACTTCTGATTGCTGCTTTTTTTTTTTTTCTTTTTTTTTTAGTTAATGAGACAGGACAAGACTCCCAATTTTTTTTTTTACTACTTTGACCCAACTTTGTTAAATTAGTCACAGTTAAATATGGCTGAATCAGACCCTTGAGGCTTACACAGGCTGCCAGCCCTGCTGATGGAGCAAGTTTTTTGGAATCCTCTAATGGCAAGGTGCTGTGGAGGCAGCCGAGAGTATGGAGGTGGCTCTGAGTAACTGCCTTCATCCCATGCTTTACCCTGACTCCTGCTAGGATCATTGTTCTGGTCATTTATCCTCTCTAATGCTGCTGTTGCTCATTATCTGCCCACTGAGACCAGTGCTGCTGTCTTGACTAAAATATGGGATGGAGTCTCTAAGAGTAAAAACTTTGGAATGCTTTTACTTAATCCTTGGGGATTTAGGAATGACTAGGTTGGCACTGGGACGTAGCTTAGCGATAGAGTATGCTTAGCGATAGAGTATGCTTAGCGATAGAGTATGGTATATGTCTGTGTTCTCTGCTGAACACCCTTCTCTCCTTTAGTATTAGTCACTACCAACAAACATCCATAGCCTGTGTTGACACAAATTATAACCATACTTTTTTTATTATGGGGAACAGGATGTTTATAGAAGACCTCAAATATTGTGGTTGCTTTAGTCAGATTCAAGGTGTTGTTGCCATTGCTAATATCAAGGTTAACATTTAGTGGTTAATATTTACTAAACTTTTTTTGTTCCTTTTGTTTGGGGTGTTGTTGGCAAAACAAAATGGCTAGTCTTTAAAATATTTGTAGGAAAGTGTTCACAGAGATTTTTTTCAGGAGACTGAGGAGCCATATGAAAGAACAGCCCAGCATAAAGAGGAGAGACAGGGTGGCTTGTGGGATGAATTCATCTGGTTTTCTGCAGGTGGAAGATGAGACAGTTTTGTGCAATATTCCCTACATGGGTGATGAGGTGAAGGAAGAAGATGAAACCTTCATCGAGGAGCTGATTAATAACTATGAAGGCAAAGTCCACGGTGAAGAAGGTAATAATGCTGGGCAGACTGTGAGAGGATTTTGCTAGCATACTTCTGTTTTTGTTGTATTTCGTCCCCATGGGTGCCCACTAAAGCATATTCCAGTGTGATGATGTGACTTGGGATTAGAATTTAATATTTAGAATATCCAGTTAAATTGCAGAGGGAGCTGGGTCACAAAAAGAGTTGCCTACTGATCAATGGTTATGAGAGCGTTTGTTGAATGGGTACATTTAATTTTTGACATTTTCCATAAGTCTGTCAGTGGCCACTTTATTTTTTATTTCCCTTTCTCTGAGGACAGCATCGGGCATATCCTTACTGTCATACCTCTATGATCCAGATATCTTCTGGATTTCTCAAAAATTGGCTTAAATATAAATATTTTATAAAATATTTGTATTTTACAAAAGCATAAACATATGAACCTAATTGTAATTCTTTTTTTTTTAATGTGTGAGTGCTCTATCTGCATGTACACCTACATGCCAGAAGAGGGCATCAGATCATATTACAGACAGTTGTGAGCCACTGTGGTTGCCGAGAATTGAGCGGAGGACCTCTATAAGAGTGGACAGTGCTCCTTTGTTGTTGTTGTTGTTGTTTTGTTTTGTTTTTGGGTTTCTCTGTGTAACAGAGCCTTGGCTGTCCTAGACTCGCTTTGTAGAACAGGTTGGCCTCGAACTCACAGTGATCTACCTGCCTCTGCCTCCCAGAGTGCTGGGATCACAGGCGTGAGCCACCGCACTAGAGATGTGCAGACAGTGCTCTTTACCAGCTGAGCAGTCTTTCCAGACACTTTTAAAAATTCTTTTGAGATTTGTTTGTTTGTTTATTTTATGTGTATGGTTGTTTTGCCTGCACGAGTGTCTGTGAGCCATGTGTGTGCAGTGCCCAAGAAGGCCAGGAGAGGGCAGGTGATCTTCTTGGACCTCAAGTTACAGAAGGTAGTGGGACCCAAGTTCTCTTGGCCGGCCCTCTTAACCTCTGAGTGATTTCTCCTGACCCATGTTGTAATTATTTTAAAAAAACAAAACTAAACTAAACACATTTAACTTGGGGGCGCAGTCCACAAATGCCATAGTGTGATGTGGAGGTCAGAGAACACTCTCCTTCCACCATGTGGGTGTGAAAGATTGAACTCAGGTCGTCAGGCTTGGCAGCAAGAGCTTCACCCAGTGAGCCACCTTGCCACCTCCTCGTTATAATTCTGCAAAAGGCTGTCAGTAAACGTAGGAAGAGGGCCTGGGCTGGGTGCGGTGGCACCTGCCTTAAGGCAGAGACAAGAGGATCTCTAAGTTTGAGGCCTGCCTGGTCTACAGAGCTAGTTCCAGGAGAGCCAGGGCTACACAGAGAAACCATGTCTTAGAAGGAGGAGGAGAAAATCAACAAAAATGTAGGAGAGGAGCTGGCATACCCTGATAATCCCAGCCACTCAAGAGTCTTCGACAGGGGGATTGCAGAGCGTGCTCAAGGCTACAGAGGAAGGTCAGTGCCACACCTGGCACCTAGTCTCAAATCAGAAAAAGCCCTGGGGATATAGCTCAGTGATAGTCCTGTGGTCAGTCCTCACTACCGAGGAAGGCAGTGGGGAGAAGAGGGACTCCCCGTGAATATGCCAGCCTACCTACTGCTTGACAACCAACCTACTCTTGACAGTTGGGGGTACCTTGCCAACATTCAAATACACACCCAACAGCACCCTCTAGTGTTCAAAGACATTATTTCAAGTTGAAGTATAACCCAACTATGATTTTAGAAAAAACAAAGAAGTCTTGATTAAGAGAAGTCACTACTGATACATTAGCACAAAGCCAAGTGATTTATCACTTTGTTGTTACTTCTCTGCTTGGCTTGTATTTGATGATACACCTTTGTTGTTGAGATTTTGTGTATTGTTTGGAGACAGAGGTTTTCTGTTTAACAGTCCTAGCTGTCCTGGAACTTGCTTTATAGACAAATAGACCTCTGACTCTTGAGAGCTTGGATTAAAGTCTTGTGCCACTGTCCTCCGCTTGCTCTTGAGATTTTTGAACAGTAAATACAGTGTTAACAGTGACCAAAGAAGTGATATATTCCAAAAGGTCTCTAACTGGGTTTTCTACCTAGCTATCAAACTGTTGTAGTTGTTAAGAGCTAATCAAATGATACGTTTGTTATAGCCATAGACCTCAGGAGTGAGTGTATGAAAATGTGCCTGAGCTTTGGGGATGTGGCTCAGTTGAAAGTGTTTGCATTGCATAAAACAAGGCATGGTAATGCACACCTGGAATTACAGCACTCTAGGCTAGTTTGGGATACAGGATACCCTGTCTTTTTTTTAGTTATTTTGAGACAGGGTCTTATTATGTAGGTCTGATTGTCTTCGATCTCACTATATCAACTGTCTTCAAACTCAGAGATCCATCTACCTCTGCCTCCCAAGTGCTGGGATTAAAGGTGTGAGCTACCATATTTGGCAAGACCCTGTGTTGTTTGTTTGTTTAATTTTGTGTTTTGGCTACATGTGTATCTGTATGAGGGTGTTGGGTCCCCTGGAACTGGAGTTACAGACAGTTGTGAGCCATCATGTGGATGCTGGGAATTGAACTGAGGACCTCTGGAAGGAACAGTCGGTGCTCTTAACCACTGAGCCATCTCTCCAGCCCAAGGACCCTGTCTTAAAGAAAAGAGGAAGAAAAAAAAAAAAACCCTTCCTAGGAAGATGAATGGAATTTGAGGCTGTCACTGCTCACCTTTCTAATCCTTGTGCTTTAGAGATGATCCCTGGGTCTGTGCTGATCAGTGACGCCGTTTTCCTGGAGTTGGTAGATGCCCTCAACCAGTACTCAGATGATGAAGAGGATGGGCACAATGACACCTCAGATGGAAAGCAAGATGACAACAAAGAGGATATGCCCATGACAAGAAAGCGGAAACGCCACGCTATCGAAGGTGCAAGCCCTGCTTCCACAGACTATTTTGAAATTGACAGGGACAGAGAACTTGAAAAGTCTATTGCTCTAAAAACCATTTATGCTTCTCATTGGTACACTTAAAGGAAAAACATGGTCATTAACTGATAGCTTCAGCTGACTGCCTGTGAACGAGCAGTAGAAAAACTTCTAGAATAATTACTGTTATTAGTTTCTAATTCTAATGTTTTTGGAAAATCTGGGAAGGTATAAAGGAGAAAATAAGATTACACTACAATCTTGCTACATAGGAATAATCTGATTATTGATTCCCTGTAGATTTTAAATTGTACATATATAAATCAGCATGCTCATACAAAATTGAGATTGTGTGGGTGCGTGATACAAACTTTTATCTTCCTAATTTAATTTTATGAATATTTTCCATGTCACTAGTATTTAATCTACTATTACTGGGCTGAAGAGAAGGCTCAGTGGTTAAAGTCTTGCTCTGAAGCATGATGACTGTAGTCCAGAACCCATGAAGATGCAGGATGGCTTTGTAGCCTGTCTGTAACTCCAGCCTTCAAAGATGCAGATGGGGTCACTAAGGCAAACTGGCCGGCAAGACTAGTCATGTTGGCAAAGTCAAGGCCAGTGAATAAAGTGGAAGAGCTACAGAGAAGATGATTCCAGATGTCAACCTCAGGACCTCACATGCATGTGCCTGCATGCCCACACATGTGCCCACATACACAAACATACATCCATATTCATGTACATACACATAAAAATGGGAAAAGGAGAAACTCTGAATTACTGAATTACTGAATTATGCTGTGCTATCTAATTGTGTATCCAGGGACAGTATCTCTCTTCCTATGAAAGAGTTCCAGTGTCACTCTTGTTTTTCAGCACTGATGTTAGGGTAGGGTTCATCCGTCTTTAGCTCTCCGTGAAACTCCTCTTCCCCTCTTGACTCTAACAGGGACTCTAGACTTTCTTGTCAATGCAGTTGATGTTTGGATGAGCACAGCAGCTCTAATCACTGTGCCAACAAAGGGAACATTTCAGACAGCTTTGTGCGCACCCAGGAGTTTACTGTTGTTTTCCATTCAGGCAACAAAAAGAGCTCCAAGAAACAGTTTCCAAATGACATGATCTTCAGTGCCATTGCGTCCATGTTCCCTGAGAATGGTGTCCCCGATGACATGAAGGAGAGGTAGGGAAGGCTGTTCCACTCACGCTCTACCCAGGGTTTGTGAACAAATTCTTACCCAAACCCATTTTTTGGTTAAGAAAAATCCCTGTTGATGGCGAGTGTGCCATGGTCTGCCTCCACTTCTGACTTTCTTGCTTACTTACCTCTGAATGCCCTGTCATGTTAGGGATCATTCTGTGCCGACATCTGGGCAGAAAGCTTACTCCGACCTTCTGGGTAGTTACACCAGCACTGTGATTACCAAGCCGCCTCCTCCTCCTCACGTTCGTACTCTCAGCCCTGCATAGTTACAGTGGTGGATCCTGTTTCCCATCTCACCCACCGAGCCTAGAAAAACCATTCAGCCTTCCTTGGCAGGCCCTGCCTGGGTGGTAATTCCCCTTGCTACAGTGGAGACAGCTTCCTAGAGAGGAATTCTCTCTTTTCTTACAGGTACCGAGAGCTAACGGAGATGTCAGACCCCAATGCACTTCCCCCCCAGTGCACACCCAACATCGATGGCCCCAACGCCAAGTCAGTGCAGCGGGAGCAGTCCCTGCACTCTTTCCACACCCTGTTTTGCCGCCGCTGTTTTAAATACGACTGCTTCCTCCACCGTGAGTGGGGCTAAGTGATCCCCTCCTCCCCCTACCCCAACTCCTTCTTCCACCGGGAGTGGGGCTGCTCTATGTGAAGGGCTCACCTCCTCCCCCCTGCCCCAGCTCCTGCTCTGGTGAGGGTTTTACAGAGGGACGGTTCTGTTTTTATTTCCTCATTGACAGTGTGATGTGCTTTGCATGATACACGATCTAATTAAGCACTGTGATTGCCCTTTGATGCCTCCCAGCTTTGAAAGGATTGTGTTGCTATCAGAACTAAATTTTGTATACCTTGCTGGTCACCTTTTATTTGGAATTCAACACCTGCCATCACTCCCTAATTCAGTTTTCCTGCTCCCTCTTATGTCGAAAGGAGAGAGCCTTAAGAGACACTGTGGCTTTCTGTTTTCCAGCTTTCCACGCCACTCCTAATGTATATAAACGCAAGAACAAGGAAATCAAGATTGAACCAGAACCATGTGGCACAGACTGCTTCCTTTTGCTGGTAGGTTCTTAAGCTGTTGTGGCGTTGTTAACTGCTTAATGTTGTTGAACTTCCTGTGTCAGGGAACACAGCTGAGTGAGTCGGCCCACTGCACTGCAGGGTTCCTTAGCACGGGAGAATGGTGTAGTCTTCTGGGGGTGATGGAGGAAGGTGTGATGAACGTGGACAAAGGATTTCCTGCTCTGAATATCACCTGCCTAGATTGAGAGTCTGCGGCTGTTGTTAACGTTTGGAACAAAGTGGGCTGCACCTGGGTGTTGGTGCTGGAGTACTTGGGCTTGGTTCCCAGCACCATCAAAGAAAAAATATTGAAGCAAAGTATGCATGTCCTACGTGTACTGTTTTCTTTGTTGTCTCTGTAAATACTTAACAGTCATAGGAAGAAACACACGAAGGGACTGTGTCCAACCTCATGACCCTCTCCACACAGCCTTTTATGGCCGCAGAAGTCATCCTGTGTTTCTAAGGGGAATAGGCCAGTTACAGTACTGGACCCACATCAGCTCTTCCTTGTCACACAAAAGCCAGTGCTTAGAAGGAAAAGTTGGTGGGAACAGGATCATTTGACATCCTGAGGACTGGGGGGAGGGTACCTTTAGACCCCATATTAGTGGGTGGTGGTGTATCCCTCCAGCACTCTGGAGGCAGAAGCAGACAGATCCCTTAAGTTCGAGGCCAACCTGGTTTACAGAGCGAGTTGCAGGACAGCTAAGGCTACACAGAAACTCTTGTCTTAAAAACAAAAAAAAAAAAAAACAAAACAAAACAAATGACACCGTCCCCCATCTCAGTGAACTCAGGAATACAAAGGGCTTAGAGGAGGGAAAAAAGAAATGGGCGGGAAGACGGTATGCTAAGTAGGAGAATGTCATTCAGGGAGTATTCTCCTTTTCTCTCTGACTGCCACCTCTCTGATCCTCAGACGCCTATATAATCCATATAGCTCACTACGTATAGCTTGGCACTTATGACCTGCAGAATAGGTGGTCTCTGTGAGGTGCTGCACAGCACTGAACAGTAAGGAGTTTGTATGTCCTCATAGCTTGATGGTCACAGTATTCTGGATTCTGTAAGTGCAAAGAAAGAGTATTAGGATGTAGAGCAGAGGAGGGTAAAGTAAAGGCCAAGGGAAAGAACGTAAACCTAACTTCCCAGGACAGATACTAAAAAAGGGGGTCACTGCTCACTTCTTTGCTACCCGCTCTTCACTCATTTTGGCTACTGAGTGCTAAATGGGAGCCAATATGGAGGACTGGGGAACGGAAGGCTTCGCCCTTGGTGAAGTATGTAATGCTCTGCTGAAGGGATAGTCAGAACACCGTGAGCCTACAGCACCTTCAGTCCTGAGTGGCTGATAGTGTTAGTTCTGATTGTAAAATCACTTCAGAGTCTGCTTCCAGATGACACCTGAGAAACAAACGTAAAAGCCTTGTGATTGCCCATCCCAGGACATTCAGAGACACGGGGCTTGCATGGTGAGCCACAGGAACAGAAGGCAGGGATGGGAGGGCTGTCTGCTCAGTGAGCTCTCACGAATTTGGGGCAGGCATCCTCAGTGCCTGGCACGTCTCAGGGACTTGATCTCCTGAGGCTAGTGTCTGTAGTTCTATAGGCAGACTATAGTAGACTATAGACAGTATTTTAACTATCTATTTTGAGTAAGAGGTGAGGTGTGACATGGCTCACGTATGGAGGTTGGTTCTCTCCTTCTCCTGTGTTTGTCCTGGGAATCAAACTCAGGTGAGCAGGCTTGTTCCACAAGCACCGAGACACCTGCCCAGGCATGCTGCCTTTTTAGTTTTTCAAGACACGGTTTCTTTCTGTAACACTGGCTGTCCTCGAGCTCTCTCTGTAGACCAGGCTGGCCTCAAACTAACAAATCTACTTTCCGATTCCTCCCCAAGCTGCTGGAATTAAAGGTGTGCACGGCCAGCACCGCTTGTTGTAGTTGAGTAAATATTTTATTGTGAATGATCCAGAATAAGTTCAGCAGTTTCCGTATTTAAAACAACTCTTTCTGCATATTGAGTCGGTAACTATGTTAAGAGATTAAGGAAAATTTAATGATACTATAGGAATGGCAGACAGCTTTGATTTTTGAACTGAATCATAAGGGCTTTGGGCCACTTTACTTATTTTTCCTGGCTTATAACCTGCCTTTCCTGATTAATTTGCATAAGTATAGAATGTAGGTCCTCCAGAAATTGGTGTCCCTTTTACTATATGAGGAAGAATCCAGTTAGTTATTTTTATAAACTTAAGTCTCTTGCATTTGGGATATTTGTTGCTCATCTCTACCAAAGTATTACTGCAAGCTTTTTGTCAGTGTTCATTTTCTGCCCATAATGAGGCAATTTCACCATTAGTAAAAGGTATCACAATTTTTGCTGGGTCTATTTCTGCTAATTGACAAAGTTTCATTTTTCCTTTCGGAATCAATTCAGAAACCTTTTCTACATAGGTTTTTAATTATTTACTCTGTTTGTGTGCTAAAAATATCTATCCTAGGATATTATCTTCTCTCTGCACAAGAATTCCCGTGGGAGAATGAGTAGAAGGCAGAAAACTAAAACACAGTAGAGCTTTTCATCCAAGCGATCCACGTGTGCGTCCTGTAGTTTCTTCTCTACCAGAGCCAATTCTCTCTCAGCCTCAGCTGATAATTGGACTCTTTACATCCTTATCACTTTGTAAAGTTTGAAATAAATAGCTTAGCTTCTGAGCAGATCCAGTTGTGGGCCGTAGTCAGTTCATATCTCCCAGTAATTTTTGAAAATCATTAAGAGTTTGTAATTGATTTCTTCTGATTTGTATTTTCTGTGGTTGAATTTTCTGTAAACGTATCTTATATCCTAGATAATTGGTAGAATCTCCTCTTTGTATTTTTTCAGGAGCAATTTGTAATCCTCAGCAAAGCAAGTTTTTCTTTACTTAATTGAACATTTTTCTGAGGTATCTGTGTCTGAATCAGCCAGTAAGATATCATCATATAATGATAAAATTTATATTGAGGAAACTGTCTACTAATTATTTCTAATGGCTGTTATATAAAATATTGACACAGTGTCAGACTACTTAACATTTCTTATGAAAGAACTTTTCAGTGATACCTTTTAACAAGTTGAGCATAAGTTGAGTGTTATAAGTAGGCACTGTGGAAGCAATTTTTTTTTCTTTATCCTGTTCTTATAAAGTATAGTAAAAAAGCAGTCTTTTAAGTCAGTCACTGTAATAGACTATCCCTTAGGTAATAAAGAAGGCAAGGGAATTCCAGGCTGTAAAGAGCTCATTGGCTGAGTCACCTTATTTAATGGCTCTGAAATCTGTTACATTCTCTTTTTCCAGATTTTTCTTTTTTTAATGAAAAATATAGTAGAATTCCAAGGACTGATCAATTCTTCAATATGTTGAGCCTTTAGCTGCTCCTGTATACCAGCTGTCTTAGTGCCTGGAATTTGTCTTTTGTCAAAGGTCAGCAGCTGTTGTTTCCTGCTTGTGTACAACCTGAATGGCCTGTGACTGTTTTTGATATCTTTTTGTATTTTTAACATAATATAAATAAAATAAAAATTTATTTTATGGTTTGTTTGTGATTGGAGGACTGTTGGTCCCTATTTTCCCTTGCTGCAACAGATCACATCCCCGTAATGTCGTGGCTACGTTAGCCACATGTCTGTAATTTTCCTGTTTGTCCTTCTGGCCCTGTACACTCCCGACCCGACTTCCCTTCGCTGTACCTGAGGTAAAGTCCCAATCCCTAGAAACTGAATCTTTATCTCTTGCAGCGGCCAATCAGGGTGCCAGGATTTGGGTGAAATTATGGTTATATCTATTCCTGTGTCTACTAAACCTTCAATTTCAGTGCTATTTATTTGTAGTTTTAGCTTTGGTCTCTGATCATTTATAGCAGTTTGCCAAAATATTTGTTTTGTGTTTTCTCCTGATTTTTTCATTTTATTTATTAAGCTGTCTGTCCTTGATTACATCCAGAGCAGTGTTTGTTGTTTTTAACAACAGGCATTACATCTTCTAATTGCTCTGCGGATGAGTCTCTGTGACACTGACACGGTCAGGTACAGTACTTGTCCAGAACAACCCCCAGAGAAGGGGCATTATCAGCTCTCCACGTAATAGGCTATGCTCAGGCAAAGGGGATATTACCGTGATACAGTTTCTGCCATTGGTTAAAACTACAGTGTAAAGCCAAGTGCCTTCTGGCGCATCTTTAGCAGGGTAACAGAAGGGACACGGCAGCAAACATTACTTGTTGTTCATCTGATGTGGGCTGTATGGTTATGGCAAAAAGAAAGAATAAGTCAACTTTCTTCAAGTCACGCATTAAGTCCTTCCCGTGTGTCAAGCCCCACCCTGCATTCTGTCACGGGTCATCTCACTGTCAATCCTCAGGAAGAAGTTAGGGGTTATGAAAGTCAGACACTCTGCAGTTAATGTTAAGTCAGTGCTTATAGCATTGTTGAGATTCAGGCCCTGATCTCAGTCTACAGCCATGCTTTTTAAATTACTCCAGGCCTTCCCCCACAACCACCAATATAACGTCAACATGTGTCACTGTATAACTCAGAAGGGCGTCATCCTTCACAGAGTCACTACTCTGAGACCCTGTGCATTTGTTTGTCCAACTCCAGGTAGACATATACACCATTCAGATGCGCTGGGCTATCTTCTTCCAGCCTCTGTTTTTCCTACGGACAATGTCTTTAATCATAACAAGATGTCTAGCACTGCTAACGCAAGGCTTCAGAATGTTTGCTGCAAACTCAGTTGTTCCTGTCATAAAAAGCTTCAGTAGAAGGCAAACGACTTAAACAATCTGAAGAGAAACTAATGTTCACAGTCTTTGTTTGTTTGTTTGTTTGTTTATTTTGCAGGGTTGAGACTGAACTTGGAGCCTCATGCAGGCTAGACAGGTGTTCTAGCGTCGATCAGCTCCCAGTTCACTCTTGACTTTCTATTAAGAGCTTTTTCTTTTCAGACTAGTCTCAAGCACAGCTCAGGCTGGTCTTAACTCAGGATCCTGGGCCATTCTCTTAAATGCTGGGGTACAGGCATGCACCACTGCACCTCGACCTTTTAGGGATGCTAGTGGTATGAAGGTCGGTTTTCTGAGGTAGTATTTCATGTACCTCAGACTCGTGATGTAGCTGAGGCTAGGCTTGAAGTCCTGATAGTCTCCCTCTGCTCCCATATGTTGGGATCGATCGATCGATAATCGATCTCTCTCTCTCTCTCTCACTGTATCTATCTATCTATCTACCTATCTACCTACCTTTTTTTCATTCTGTCTTTGTTTTTTTTGACACAGGGTTTCTGTGTGTAGCCCTGGCTGTCCTGGAACTCACTCTGTAGAGCACACTGGCCTTGACCTCATATCCTCCTGCTTCTGCCTCCTGAGTGCTGGGATTAAAGGTATGTGCTACCACCATCTGGCTGCACCCAGCTATTAAAGAACTTTTTTTTTTTTTTGATGTACAAAGAAATCTAAAGAGGTCTTCCTGGATTTGAAGTATTTTTTCATTTTTATCCAATTATTTGTGGGGAGTTTGGTGGTGGAGATTAAAGCCAGTGTGCCATACTTGCTAGAGATCGCTTTTCCAATGAGCCACAGCCTTGACTGTTTTCTTAGATTTCATTTCCATTTATATCTTTCAGTCAGAGAGCATATTTGGCTGCTGGATATTTTACTGATTTTACCTCAGATAATTCCATCAGTCATTTCTTCTTTTTGTGTTTGTTTTGAGGCAAGGTCTCACTATGCTTCACTTGCTGGCTGGGAGCTCATTCTGTAAGCCGTACTGACCTCAAACTCCCTAGAAATCTGCCTGCTTCTGCTGCCCATATGCTGGCACCCAGCCCTCTTCTTTTTGGAAGTTCAGTGATCACTGTGAAATGATCCTTTAGTTTTCTCAGGGAACCACTTGTCTTGTTCTTTGATCCCAGGATTCTCAGAAGTTAGCTCTGTAGGCTGGATTTTATTTATGGTCAGTGGTACTTTGGGTGAATCTTTTTAGGGCTCAGATGTAGCTCAGTGGGAAGGCAATTGTCTACATATACAAAACTTTGGGTTCATTTCCCAGCACTGAAAAAAGAGGAAGGAAGCACTCCAGAGGCAGGAGGCTCTCTGAGTTTGAGGCCAGCTTGATCTAGAGAGTAAAATCCAGAACAGCCAGGGTTACACAGAGGAAGCTTGTCTTGGAAAAAAAAAGAAGAAAACAAAAGGACGAAAGGGACACAAAATAGAAGCAGCTGATGCTGTATGTTTCACAGTGGTGTGGATAGGTGTATACTATCAGAGCCAATCAATTTCAGAACATACGATCCTGCAGAAACAGGTATAAGTCTGTGGAAACCAGTTGAGTTATAGCTTATGTGTTCTTTTGAGTCTCATGCACATTTAGGAAGAAGCTTCTAAATTAAACAGTGAGTGTGTTCAAATTCAGAGACTGCACATACATTACCGAAGCGGGCCTTGTGGTCATATGTGAAGAAAGTGGCCTGGAGAAAGGAGCTCTGACTCTTGTGTCCCTGCTGGAACATGGCGCTACCTTCCCTGAAGCAGGTTTCTTCCCCTCTAATGCTCGTTTCCTCTGCAGGGGATCTTCTCAAATCCTAAGACATGAGTGAATTTCAGATACTAAAAGTTAAGGGTGTGTAGATTGTGTCGTTTAAGAGATGTTTCCATGTTTTGGGAGTGTTTAGCCACTGTCGTACTATGGTCACACATGACACAGATAAAAACAAAGTGTCATTGCACAGGTGAAGCTCTGTGACGGTGGTGTCGACCAGGAGCGCCTGTGCGTATTTCTGTCTCCTCCCCATAATGTGTTCTCTACAGGAAGGAGCAAAGGAATATGCCATGCTCCACAACCCTCGGTCCAGGTGCTCTGGGCGCCGCCGGCGGAGGCACCATGCGGTCAGTGCCTCCTGCTCCAGTACGGCAGCCTCTGCTGTGGCTGAGACTAAAGAAGGAGACAGTGACAGGGACACCGGCAATGACTGGGCCTCCAGTTCTTCAGGTAAATTGGCCAGTGTCAGTGCCCAGCTCTTTAATACCTTTTAAAAAATTCTCTCTACCGGTTTACCTGTGAGCAATGAAAGGCAGACACATGGCGCGCACATCCGTGCACACACATGCACATACACATGTATACATGTGCACACACACACACACACACACACACCCCTGTGCAGGCCAAGGTGGCCCCAGACTTGTCCTGACCCTGCTGCTCTGCCTGGAGTAGGGAGTGCCCATGGACAGCTAACGTTGCCCTTCCCAAATCTTCTCCTTTTCAAGTGAGAATGATATACTTCTGACACATTGTGCTTTTCTCCCTTGCCCAGAGGCTAACTCTCGCTGTCAGACCCCTACAAAGCAGAAAGCCAGTCCGGCCCCACCTCAGCTCTGTGTTGTAGAAGCTCCGTCAGAGCCTGTGGAGTGGACTGGAGCTGAAGAATCTCTTTTCCGAGTCTTCCATGGCACCTACTTCAACAACTTCTGCTCAATAGCCAGGCTTCTGGGGACAAAGACATGCAAGCAGGTACCTCCTGAGCGCAGCAGGATGAATGGCCTCATCGCTCATCTCTACCAACGTAGCAGGCTGCGTCTAGACAGAAATTGTGTGCGTGAGTGTGAGTGTGTGTGTGTGTGAGAAAGAGGGAGAGAGACTGCGTGTATGTGTGTATGTTTATTTTTTTGAGACAGGTTCGACTGGCCTAGAACTCACTGTGTAGACTAAAACTGGCACTGAAATCATAGAGATCCACCTGCTTCTGCCTTCCAAGCGCTGGGCTTAACCGTGTGTGCCACCACACAGAGCCCTTCTTTGCATGCTTTGTTCCAGGTTTCCTGTCACTAGGTTTTCCAGTTGCGACCCCCAATACATAGACACGGACCTTAGTCTTCTTACTCATAGCATTCCTGTAACTGCCATTTTACCACAGCCACCGATGCTCCAGAGCAAGAAAAGATGACGATGGCTCCTAAGAGGCCTCCGAGGGTAAAGGCACATGATGACCCATGTTCGAACTCCATGATCTACATGTCAGGAGAGAACCGACTGTTGAAAGTTTTCCTCCAGCCTCCACATTGAACACTGTAGCACTCACACGCTGACACAGACACACATGCATACACAGTGAATAATGAAAATGTAACGACGTTCCTTAAATGACAGGGACAAGAGTACAGAACTGAGATGAGAGTCAGGTGCCAGTTTGTCCAGCAAGACCAGGGCCTAGCGCCAGAGCCCTGATCTCCTGGCTGCCCGGCTTCTCCAGGCCATTGTGATTTCTTCCTAGGAGCACATTCTCAAGCATTACTTGCCTGGAGTTCAGAAGGATTGGGAGCCTGTTTCGTGCTCCTTCATGTAACCAGTGAAGAGAATTAGGAGTGGAAGGGATTTGTACTTTCGTTTCAGAGCCCTTATCTGTTTGCTTGCAACACACATTCTTTTTTAAATTTTGCTGTCTTTATTGGTGTCTTTGTCTTTGTGTGGTTGCGTAAGTGTGCGTGAGCCATAGTAGTTCGGTGGAGGCCAGAGACCGACTTCGGGAAGTTGGTTCTTTCTTAAGTAGTAGGATCTGTGGGCTGAACTCAGGTCACCAGAGTTGCCTGGCAGGTGTTTTTTCTGCTGAGCCATCATCTTGCCAGGACACAGCATTGGTTCCTTAACCTAAAAAGCTGTAGAATTATATGTGTGGGTTTTTGTTGTTGTTTTGTTTTAAAGGCAGCTGGACATGGTGGTACACGCTTTTAATCCCAGCACTCTGTAAGTTCAAGGCCAGTCTAGTCCTATAGAACCAGTTGTAAAACAGCCAGGGCTACACAGAGAAGTCCTGTCCTGAAAAACCATAACTAAGTAAACAAATAAACAAATAGATGCATTCTGCCTTGAAAAGCCATAAATAAACAGATAAATAAAATAAATGGATCTTTTCTTGATACTGTTTACAGTTTTTATCAGGATATCAGAAGGTTCCATAGTTAAGAAGGGAATAAATAGAGAAGAGAGGGAGGGGAGACAGAAAATGAATGCTCTAAAGGAAGACCTATGTGGAAGAGGAGCCACCTTCCTAAAATGTTGCCCTGACGGACAGCCAGTGCTCTGGTACCTTTCTACCAACAGAGGGAGCTAGTTCTTAGCCCAGTGATACCCTTCTGGTCAGCCGTCTGCATCTGCAGCTTCCTTCCTAAAAGAGGCAGAGCTACTTGAGCAGCTCGCTGTGGCTTGAGTGGTGGGTGAAAGCCAGTGGTGGCAGACAGCAGCGCCCTGCTAGGTAGCTCTGCCTCCTGAGCCTGAGTAAACCTTCAGAGCCAGCGACCCCGCCCCAGCCACACCCTGTTTCTCTCTGACTAAAAAGATGCCCAGTTAGCTGCTCGTAAATTCCAGATCCTTCAAAGCCCAGCACCTGGCCCTTTCACTGCCCTGGTCACCTGGTCCCAGAGCTGTGATGGTCCTGTCCATTTCTCTTCCAGGTCTTTCAGTTTGCAGTCAAAGAGTCACTTATCCTGAAGCTGCCAACAGATGAGCTCATGAACCCTTCACAGAAGAAGAAAAGAAAACACAGGCAAGGGTTAGACAAAGAAGTCTTATGTCTCCTCAGGTCGTCTGTGCCCTGACCTCCTCGGGGTCACCCTTGCCCCCCTCTCCACTAAGCAGAGCCAACCCATCTTATTAGGGCACTCAGATGAGAGCCAGTGTCTCAGAACTCCCTGGGGATCTGTGGAGAGGACTCAGCCCTACCCTGTGCCCACACTGAGGATTCTGAGCTAGCTGTCCAACAGTAGAACATGGCTGGCCTGTGGCTGTGCACTAAGGTTGTTTCCTCTTCCAGGGTGATAAACACCTTCCCCACTTAGCAGCTCTGCAGAGTTGGTTTCTTTTCTTTTTAAGTATATAGTTTTCCAGAGTTACCTAATGCTGTTTATTGGTTGGAAGTTGAAAAAAAATAGTGGTAGTACACTTCTTTTCCTAGTACTCAGAGGCAGAGGCAAATGTGCCTCTGAGTTCAAGGCCAGCCTGGTCTACATGGTGAGACCCAGAATGATGAAAAGTAAAATCATCACTCTGATGGTCAGCTCCCTAATGTGTATTACCAGCCAAAGAAAGGAGATGGCTCTAGCTCTAGCTACAAAGGAATTTCCTCCTGCTTCCTCACTGAAAGACTTTTCCTACCTGGCCGCCTTAGAGCTCTGCCTGGCAAAGGGAGAAGGAAGCAAAGTGTGATAAGAGACAACTTTGTGAGTTTTGCTTTGCCTGGGTTTTGTTATTTGGTGTTTTGGAGAGGAGTGGTGTTAAATTTTAATTTGCCAAGGCTGGGTTTAAGACAGGCTCTAGAGTGTTTGTACCAAGGTAGGTGCCTTCTGTTAAGGAACTCTGGAAGAGTACCTCACAGTTGTCAAGCTGTCCCTGATAGCAGGGCACACTGTCATTTGTCTGCAACTACAGGGGACCATGGCTCAGACCTATACCTTCTTTCATTTTCCCCTAGGTTGTGGGCCGCACACTGCAGGAAAATTCAGCTGAAAAAAGGTGAGTTCATGTGAAGAAAGGTGAGGAATAAATCAGAGTAGGATGCATGCTTTCCATGTTCAAGGTCATGGGCTCCATCCTCGTCACCCTCACCCTGTGTTGATCACCCTGCCATACCTGTAGCTCTCTTGTTGACCCTTGCTGCTTCTACAGATTGCAGATTTCTTTGCAGCATCTCTAGGGCTGAGCCAATGGCTACAGCTGAGATGCCCTCTCAGGAGATAAAACCTAAGGCCTTGTGGTCTCTGAGTTTCCTAGTGTGCTGTTTGCCATCTCCAGACTTCTTTTCATGTTTAGAGTAGCTGCCTTGTTATCTCGGGCAATCTCCACACCCTACCCACAAAGCAGATACTATCCCTTGTTTGTGCATGGGGCCAGCCCCATTGTAAGCTGCTGAGTATGTCCAAGGTCATGGTTAGGACAAGCCTGCATTGGCTTGAGGCGCAGGGGTATTTGGAGTGTAGGGCACCAAGGGAGCCTGGTCACAGCAGTGTGTGTCACTCTCTATCTCTCTTTCAGATAACTCTGCTACGCAAGTGTATAACTACCAACCCTGTGACCACCCCGACCGTCCCTGTGACAGCACCTGCCCCTGCATCATGACCCAGAATTTCTGTGAGAAGTTCTGCCAGTGCAGCCCAGACTGTAAGAGCACCCTGCTTTCACCATCATCTACCAAAGTGCTTGGCCTTGGAGTGTCCAGGCTCTCTTCTCCTGCCCCATAGGTGCCTGTAGACGTTTGATATCTCTTTGCTGTACTTCAGGCATCCTACAGGGAAGGAAGGCGTGAGCCATCTGGAAAAGATGTGGGGGTTGGTTGGTTCTGTCTTTTTGTTTGTTTGTTTTAAATTTAAAACTTTATTTTATTATTTTATGTATAGGAGTGTTTTGCCTGCATGTATGTCTGCACTGTGGGCATGCTTGTTGTCCAAGGAGGTCAGAAGAGGAAATAAGATTACCTAGAACTGGAGTTACAAACAGTTGTGAGCCATTACAAGGGGGCTGGAAGTCAGTCCAGGTCCTTTGGTAGAGCAGCTATTGCTTATTCCTAGCTGCTGAGCCATCTCTCTAACCCCTGATCTATTTTTTTTAAAGAACCCCAACTCCTGAGCTCACAAAGTCTCAAAAAAAACCTCACTAGGTAGTGGTGGTGCAAGCCTTTAGTCCCGTTAATCTCGGGAGGCAGAGGCAGGTGGCTCTCTGGGTTCAAGGCCAGCCTGGTCTACAGAGTGAGGTCCAGGACAGCCAGGGCTACATAGAGAAGCCCTGTCTCGAACTCCCCTCCCCCACAAAAAGTCTCTTTTCTCTCATCTCCTTCCCTCTTCCTCTCCCTCTACCTCCCAGCCACTGTCCGTATTTTCAAGCAATTTTCCTTTCTCCACCTCATAGGTAGCTGAGATTAAATGCATGTGCCACCTTTCCCTGCTGTGGAGTCATTTTTGAAGCCTTTAGGTAGGGATTGTGGGAGCAGGAACAAAACACTCTGCTTCTCCATCTTCTTCTTCCAGGGAGAGCTGAAAAGCAGGAGCTTTTGCTGAGGTGCATTCAGGGTCTTCTCTTCATGGTGTTATTTTAAAAGAGTTAGGGCTGGAGAGATAGCTCAGTGGTTAAAAACAATTTCTGCTCTCCCAGAGGACTGAGTTTGGTTCCAAGCACCCATGTAAGGCAGCATAACCACCTGTAATTCTGGCTCCAGGATATCTGACACCTTCTGTCCTCAGGCATACACGCACACACACACATCCCGCACACACTTGACACACACATACATACAAATAAAAATAAAAGTGAAAAATAAAAGTGGATTGAGTGTGGTAGTGTGTAACTATAGTTAGGTTTGCTACTCCATTGTGGGAGTCTTGGGCAGAAGGATCACAGTTTAAGGCCAGCCTGTGTTTCTAATGAAACTGTGTCTCAACAATCCTCACCACCTTCAGATTTGTTTAGCTACAGAGAGTGGTACATACCTGTAACACTAGCATTGGGAGGATGAGGTGGATGCCTTGAACCCAGACTGAAACCCTGCCTCACAAAAGGGAGCAGGAAAGGAGGGGAAGGGAGAGAGGGAAAGTGGAAAAATAAGAAAGAGGGCTTCTGAGTTGGTTCGGCAGGTAAAGATAATAAAAGGAAATCATCCAGGAGCCTGGGTTAGAGCCTGGAACCACATGATGAAAAGAAAGAACTGGTTCCTGTGTTGTCCTCTTAGTTCCACTTATGTGAGTGGCAAGCTGTGCCCAGTATGTACTCACCCACTAAATATAAAATTAAAGTTTTTGAAGAAAGAATATACATACAGAATTCTTTTGGGATATTGAGAGTTTATGATAATCCCGGGCTGACCTTGAACTTCTGATCCTTCTGCCCCTATCTCCTAGCTTCTGGGATTACAAGTTTGTGCCACCACACTGGACCCACACAGAATTCTTTGTTTGTTTAATGACTAGAGATTGATTGATTGATTGTTGTAGCAGGCAATGAATTTATGACCTTGTGCTTACAATATAATCATCCCAGCTAGAGTTCTTTAAAACTCATTTATTAAACAGGGTAAAGAGCCTTCAGTTCAGCATTTTCATATTAGCCGGAGTTTATTTTGTTGTTTTGTATTTTGTTTTGTTTTGAGATAGAGTCTCACTTCGCAGTCCTGGATGACCTCAGACTCACAGGGATCTGCATGTCTCTGCCTCCCGAGTGTTGGGATTAAAGGCTTGGGCCACCATACTCAGCTGGAAAGTTTGAATAACTGGTAGGAGGGGCTGGAGTAGGTAAAAGTGTACGCTGTACTTGCAGAAAACCCTAGTGTGTTTCCCGCACCCACATCATCCGCTTGCAAGGCAGTCTAACTTCAGCCGTGTGGAATCTAATGCCCGAGGGCTCTTGCACTCAGGTGCGCATGCCCTTTCACAGGTCCACACAGATAATTAAAATTAAGACTAAGTGTGTGGGGGCTAGAGAGAGTCAGTGGTTAAAAGCAGAGAACCGGGGTTGTTTAGCAATTTATAACCACCTGTAACCCAAGCTCAGGGGGATCTAACACTTCTTCTGGCCTCTGGATACTCACGCATGTGTTGCACATAGATAAGTAGGGGTACACATACACACATAAAATAAAAATGAATCTTTAAAAAAGCAAGTATGTGTGTATACATACATACATGTATATCTGGTAGGGGACAGGAGTTTGGGTGTTGGCAGAAAAGTAGTTTTCCACTTTTTACCTACCTCACCTCTCCTCGTTTTTCCTGCTTGGGGCCAAGCAGTTGATGGCAGCCTCTGGGTTTGCAGAAGGCAGTGCCCAGGCTGCTGTGCTCTGATTGTCGCCTGACAAGGAGCAGATAGTGATCTCAGCCACAGTAGATGTGTGCTAGTGCTGGGGAGGGCTCTGGGTGGAGGGTGGCACCGAGCGGATGCACTCAGTTCTGAAAATGCTTGTTTTGATGAGGAGGACTCACTGTGAGGAGCACTGATTTCATTTTCTCTAGGGTTCTCTTCGCCTTGCTTTCAAGTTCTCTCAACAAGAGAGAGAGAACAGAGCGGGACCCTGTTAGGGAGTCCGCAGGTGACACTCGACAGTCACACCTGCTTTTTTGTCTGTTGGGCGTGAATGTTGGGAATTAGTTTGTAGTGTGTAAGCATGTGTATGCATGCGTGTGCCTGTGCTCCCAGAGGTCAGCCTGGGTGGAATTCCTCCTCGGGAACTACCTGACATGGTTTTTCAGATGTGATCTCTCACTCCAACCACGGACTTGCTTATTAGGGTTAGGCTGTCTGGCCAGTGTGCTCCAGGAATCCATCCCCCTGCACCTCATCGCTATTTCCGAGCCTGGCTTTTCTGTGTGGATTCTGTGGGTCAAATTCAGTTCCTCACGGTTTTGTGGCAGCTGAGCTATCTTCTGAGCCCTGAAGGAGGTCCTTCATTGTCCGAGGGAAAAAGCCAGATGTTAGGGGAAAGGAGCCTTCTCTCTGTTCTACCAAGTGTCCTTGAACTTGTCACATTTACTTCTGCTGTCCCTGAGTCTGACCCCCAGCAGTGCAGGCCTGCTTCCTAACCATCCCCATCTCCCCACTCAGGCCAGAATCGTTTTCCTGGTTGTCGCTGTAAGACTCAGTGCAATACCAAGCAGTGCCCTTGCTATCTGGCAGTTCGGGAATGTGACCCTGACTTGTGCCTCACCTGTGGGGCCTCAGAGCACTGGGACTGCAAGGTGGTGTCTTGCAAAAACTGCAGCATCCAGCGTGGCCTCAAAAAGGTGAGGTATTTTCTTGGGGTCAAGATCACAGTGGGAAAGAGGAAATGGTCACAGGTGTCTGTGTTCCCTTGGCTCCTCGGAGGGTTTGTATATGAAAGTGCTCAACAAATATGCTTTGTGGCCAAATCAGTCAACTTTTCCATCCTACCAAAAGAGGCAGGGGGGTGTGCATCGTGGATACTCACATCCTGTCCCCCTTGGTGTTTGTCCAACACATGGGAGGCAAGCGCTTTACCACTGCACTCCATCCGCATTCCCAGTGTGGCCCTGCTGCCGCCTACATCGCAGTGTATGCCCAGACTGAGCCCAGGAGGTCCTCGAGGAAGAGGAAAAAGTACCCTGTTTCCTTTACCACTTCCCGTTCTTGTCCCCCATCCCCCAAGAGCAGAACGGTTTGGGCCTTCTCTGTTTCCAGTTCCCCTGACGGTTGGTAGTTCTTTCTACCTGGCCCACCACACGCGTGCCCATGCAGCATTCGCACCCTGAGACCCGCCCTGTTGGCTAAGGCTTGCCTCCCTTTCCCCAGCACCTGCTGCTGGCCCCTTCCGATGTGGCCGGATGGGGCACCTTCATCAAGGAGTCTGTGCAGAAGAACGAATTCATTTCTGAATATTGTGGTGAGGTGAGTGTTCCACGTCCAGCCCACACACTTACTGGGAAGGCACAAGAAACTCTGATTTTCTGTGGGTTAGGCTTCTGTGAATTAATCTCTAAATAACTCAGCCCAGTTTTCATGTGGCCTCTCAGGGGATCCCACAGAACTGCCTGCAGTCCTGAAACAAACCACTGTTTGTCGAGCATTGCTGTCTGACTCTCTCCAGCCTTCACCCTGGTCAGCCTGGGTGGAGGTGGGGCTAGCGTAGCCTGAGCTTGCTCTCCTACACTGCCCCTTCCCAGCTCAGATGGTCAGGAAACCTGACACCCTCTTGTTCCTTGTCTGCTCCTCCAGCTCATCTCTCAGGATGAGGCGGATCGACGAGGGAAGGTCTATGATAAATATATGTCCAGCTTCCTCTTCAACCTCAACAATGGTATGACATGGCCGGCCTTTTATTCCAGTGTGATCATGTGCAGGTCTTTACATTAAGCAGCCTTTGCTGTTAATCCAGGTTCCAGTCAGCACCAATTCTTCCCAGCAGATGCTTCAGGCAACGTGCTAAGGTTGAGCTTGGAAGCCCATGGGCTCTGGCTCATTTCTGATTGTATGGGAACAGTAGACACTTCCTCTTGAGAAGCTACCCTACCCAGTGGGTGGGAGGAGATCCAAAAGTCAGTGGGAGGACCCACAGGTGGTGCTCCCATACGAGGAAGCATGTCATGTGATTTTTCCCATCTCCTGTTACTATTTTGGCTTCACATTCCCATGAACTAAATTATTTCTGTTACCACTTAACTGATTTTAAACTAGAGCCAAAGAAGTGGGGAGTTGAAGCAGGACACATTTCTCATGCCTCTAGCCCTAGCGTTTGAGAGGCTGGGACGAGAACTACCACAAATTTTAGGCCATTCTGGGCTACAAGTGCAGGTCCTGTCTTCAATAAACAAACAAAAACGGGCATAGTAGCACATACTTGTAATCATAGCACTGGGAAGGCTAAGTGAGGATTGCAGTAAGTTCTAAGTCATGTGGGCCACAGAACTAGACCTTGTCCCCTCCCAAGAAAGTGTAGCGTTTCCTGGGACACTCATGATTTTCTTTGATTTGTGTCATGTAGATTTTGTAGTGGATGCTACCCGGAAAGGAAACAAAATTCGCTTTGCAAACCATTCAGTGAACCCCAACTGTTATGCCAAAGGTGAGTGAGTTCTCAGGAGCCTAGGAAGAGGGGTGGGCTGAATGAACACCTCATGTACTATGATTTTCATCCATCATTCAGTTACTTTCGTTGCTGAGTTACGTTTTTCCAAGGATACTCATGATTAATATCTGCCATCATTTTAGGCCTCTCACTTTCATACTCTGCTTTCTCTACCATCTACATTAAAAGTGCTTTCCCACAAGCATGACTTAAAGGTCACTGTTTCCCCCAAAGTCATTGGCTACAGTAGCAGATTCAAAAACAGAGAGTCAAGTGCCTTCATAGCTACTTTCTACTTCCATTTGATTCAGTGGGGAATTTGGAGGAAATCAGCCCAGAATCCTGAGCGCAGGAGTAACCAGGGAAAGTTGGAAGCTAGCCTAGGTCTGTCCTCTCCTCTCTGCAGTGGTCATGGTGAATGGAGATCACCGCATTGGGATATTTGCCAAGAGAGCGATTCAGGCTGGTGAAGAGCTCTTCTTTGACTATAGGTGAGGTGATTGGGAATGGGGCAGGAGTGGCTGTTGGAACTGCTTTGGGGCTTAACAGCAGCTAGAGTGGGTGGAGGAGAGGGTCTGTAGTTGCCATTGCTTGCCCTAGAACCAGGAACATGACAAATGGCTGCTAGGAATCGGGTGGAAGTGAAACAGGAGGGGACCCCATCCTGTCAATAGCAGAGTAACCTAGTTCCTCCTCCCTGCCCTGGGATAGGTACAGCCAAGCTGATGCCCTCAAGTATGTGGGCATCGAGAGGGAGACCGACGTCTTCTAGCCCTCTGGGCCCCGTGCCAGTGCTGTGGTAGCAGCACTGCTTTGGCTTCAGGCATCCACTGCTGCTCCAGCTTCCGCAATGTCTTCCACGCCGAGAGACCCCGCCCACCCCTGTATAACTAGGCCTCCACTTTATTCCAAGGGGACAAACTGCCTCAGTGAGAGGGGAAACAGAGGCGGCGAAGACCTGGTCACCCAGGAGAGCTCAGATGTGAGAAGCTGCTCCTCCACATCAGAGGAGGCGGCTGTGGGCTGGGGTGGATATCAGTGCTTGATTTTTTTTCCTCAGCTCCCAAGCTGTGGGCCCTCAGGAATCAACCAGTGCTACCATTTTAGCTTTCCCAATCAAGAGTTCTTCAGGCATTGCTAAGTGAAGCCACGTCCCTGGAGCCTGCGTGTGCTCAGGGTTAAAGGTGAGCCTGCCAGGCACTGCAGACAGGACTCAAAGGGAGATGCGTCTCCCTGACCTTTCTGTGGCTACAGGGGGGAAAGCGAAGTGCCACCATCCTGTGGATATAGGCAGAGCCAGCCAGAGCCTGGGGAAAGGACTGTCCTGTAGACTGGGGTGGTAGGGCATTTTCAGGTTCCCAGGAGCAGGTGCCAGTGACCCAGCTCCTTCCAGAGTCCCTGCTCAGAGGCAGCAGGCCTAGGCTATTGCTGAGCATGGGCCGTGCCTGGTTGGGAGTGCATACTCTGGGTCACTGAAGCTGCAGTTGTCCTCCGACCCTCCGTTCCTCAGAGGCTAGGTCCATGGAGCAGCTTTGCTTCTTTCCTCAGGGTAGCTGGGTCTAGTCTAGACTAGAGGAAGAGGTTGCGGGTGTGGTTTACTCCTGTCTGTAGTACCTGCTGTTGGTAGTGTTTGTGGGGAGGGGGGTGGGGGTGCCATGCACATTTAGGAGGGTGTCAGTGCAGGGCAGACTGTCAGGCAGACCACCATTCTCTCTGGGATTCATGCAGAACAAAGCACTTTAACTTTCTTTTAGAAGGTCTATAGATTGCAGTGGAGTTTGAGCCAAGGTCTCTGGGGTTCCTGCCCAAATCCCACTTCTGAAGGAGGAAGAGGAGAGTGGAAGATTCTCCAGTTCTGTTTCGTCTTCTGAGAGGCAGGAGGAGCTGGCTGACACAAGAACAAAAACTGTAGTCAGCATAGCTGCCTTGGGTCTGGTGTGCTGAGAACAGGGGCATTGTTCTGGCTGGGAAGGACTCTGGGCAGGTACAGACTGGCCTAGGGAGTGTTAGATTGGGGAATAGGCTCCTTGCTTCCTGGAAACCAGAGGTCCTCCCACAGTTCTTGCTGACCACCCCCTTCTCCCAGCCACAGTCAGTGCTTGTCCCACCAAAGAAATCAGACTCCCTTCCGACTGCCTCTTAGAGATTTGCATGGGTGTGCGTGTAACACAGGCCCTCACCACCACACCGGTAGGTACATGTGTCCCTCACATCCAGCACCCCGCAGTCCTGACAGTAGCCTCTCCCCACACCCGTTTCCTACCACAGTGTGAAATTGACATCTGCCGGTGGTTTGTCTAGTGTGTATCAGGGAACCGTCAAGCCTAAATGTAGGCTCTGAATTACTCATTCTCTGGGAAACCAGAGATAGGTAAGGGGGCGCTGGCCGTGAGGAATGCTTGACACCGTGTTGGTTCTTGACTGACCTCAGCTTTCCCTCAGCAAGCACCCCTGGCAGCCCCTCCTTCCGCAGTCAGGCCACTAATACTCCTTCAGCTGCCCGTTCCTGGTCCCTGTTGTCTACTACTTTTAATGACGGGTTTCAGCCCTCCGCTTCTACCCACCTCACATAAGGATGGATAGAGTGAGGTGGTGTGGACTGTTGGGGAGCTGGCGTACATGTGGCTTTATTGCCAGTGAATTTCTTGCACTTTAAAGTCCTGTGGCTTGTGACCTCTTTTATCTAATAAAGTGTTAGAATCCATTTTGGCAAATCGTGTCCTGCATGCTTGGGTTGGAAGCATGGGAGCAGATTGGGCAGAAGCTTTAGCACTCTGATTCCCACTTTCCGGGGGTGGGGGGGGTGCACAGGTTTTAGTGTTTAGAGATGGTTTCTCTGTGTAGCTCTGGCTGTCCTGGTACTCAATCTGTAGACCAGGCTGGCCTTGAACTCAAGAGATCTGCCTGCTTCTGTCTCCCCAGCGCTGGAGCTAAAGGTGTGCATAGATTCTGAGTACTAGGAATTCCCAAGCTCTCAAGAGTAGTTCCCCTAAGAAGGCTCCATTCTTCTTTTGGTTATGCTGTCAGCTACCACACAGAGACTGGAGCTGTCACTCTGCTTTATTGGACCTGCTCAGTTGAGGGTGAGCGGGCTCTGCCCTGCTCTAGAGTGGAGGCCCAGCAAGTGGGGGAGTGGCTGGCAGGACTCCCGAGACATCCAACACAAAAGGAACCCACTACACACGGGGCACAGCACAGGTCAGCCCACTGAGCTTTTATATATAAACAGGTAGTTAAAAATTTAGAATAATATATAGTTTCTCTAGAGAGAGACTTTGCAACAAAAAATATATATAAAGAATATGACCTCCTGGGCGAACACAGCAGCAGCATTTCTGAGCGAGGGGGAGGGCTCCTCATGCATTGGAGGGGGCCAGGCCTACACACAGGCACCAAGGCTATTGCATATTTTGAGAAGGGGTGGAAGAGTAGAGGGCTGGCTAGGCAGGGTGTCTGCATCCTTTTTCCTGCTTGCAGGCTTTTTATGGCTTTGGCTAAAGCATGTGAAGCAGCGGAGGTACTAAAGCGCTAAACTGAGGCCTCTTGGTCTCCCTTAAAACAAAAAGGGTGGGGCAAGGTGTGACGGGGGGGGGGGGGGACAGTGATGAAGCTCTTCCTTCAGCCCAGGCTGAGAGGAAGCAGGGCGGGGGGAGCCTCCTCCCCCCATGCCCTCTGCAGCCCACCATCCCCCGCCATCCGTTTCTGCTGGTAACGTATACAGGAAGGGAGGCAATCCATCTCCCCTGCCCTCCTGTTGTTAATCCCTGGCAGCAGCTGGGACTGAGAAGGCAGGAAAGGCCTGTTAGCCCCGTGAGGCAGGCCAACAGCCAGGAGCCTGGGGGAAAGGGATGAGCAGGGCATTGGTTTAGGCAGTGAGGCTCGGCCACTCGCTTTGGTCCCATCTGTAGCTCTGCCCACCAAACTTGGCAAGAGGGGAAAATCCTCCTGGTGGACAGAGCCTGCTAAGAAGAGCCAAATGTCCCTGGCAGGTGAGAGGAGAGGCAGGAGTTGAGGGGACTTAGGAATTGTACTTGGTCCCTGAAGCTCTTGTGACTTACTCAGACCTGGACTCCTCCAGTATCTGTGGGAGGTTCTGCTCCCTGGGGCCTGGGCCAGAGGCTGGGGCTGGGGCTGGGGCTGGGGCTGGGGCTGGAACCGGGGTGGCAGCTGGAGTTGGGGCAGGGGCCTGGGCAGGGCCTGAAGGAGGTAGGGGAGTTTTGCCGCCAGGATGGGAATCGTGGGTGGCCTTGGGCTCGTTGGTGTGGTAGGAGCCCTTGTAGCGATGATTTTGCAGGTAGAAGAGCACCAGCATTCCCACAAGCCCCAGCAGCAGGAAGGCCACCAAAACTGAACAGAAGAAAAGGAACAACTCAGAGAGGGTCTTTGGGGTACACACATAGACACTCAGCCAAAAGCATCATTACGCCTGCGTATGGCAGATGACCATGTCAGGCCATGCCTGTGTCTAAAAGGTTTGAATTCTTGCCTTATCCCCTGCCCACTTTACTCTTAATATCTCTGATGGCTTCTCCAATTTCTCATTTCTCTAGATGTTACTACATCTCTTTCCTCATCCTGTAACTATGGCTGTATTTTAATATTTCACTTCAATTAAAAGAGTATACCTGCCTGGGCCTTGCCCAGTTATGTACTGATGTCAGCATAGCCTGTGTCACCTTCCTTCCTTCAGGCCATCCTCACATCTAACACCTCCACTCCTCAGCCCCAAGAATAGGAGCCAGGAGGGAAGCCGACAGGGGGGTCTTGGGAAGTCGGGTTATCGGTCAGTGCTACGCTACTCACAGCCTAAGAGTATGGCCACCCATCCGTCGTCGTGGTAGTACGGGAAATCTAAGGAGAGAAGGTGGTTAGGAGGCTCTGCCTCTGCTCCCTCCCCCCCCGCCCCCCGCATCTGCCGATTTACCTGGAGGCAGGTACCAGGGGTCGAGCTCAGGCGGCACCTCTGAGACAAGGCGTGGCATAGCTCCACAGTTAGACTCCGACAGTTCTCCTTGAACCCGCATGGCCTCCGCCAGCTCGGCAGTCATGGGGCGAGGGGTTCGGAAATGGGTCTTGAGGGGAGCCACATTGTTGAAACGGACACCGGACAGGCAGCCCGAGAAACCTGGGGTGTTGTACCTCTGAATCTCTGGGTCAATGACTCCTGTCTCTGAGGGAGAGGCAGGCCAGAAAGAGGCATTTGGGTCCACCCGGAAGCCCTGCCCCCCTGGCACCCACTGTTCTCATCCATTCCTCGTTCCCCTTGCCCCACTGCCCTCCTGCTGCTTTCCCCTTCCTCACTCCATACTTGAGGAACTTCACCAGCTCTTCCCCAGACACATTCTCAAAAGCCGCTTACCCATCACACGGCCTAGATACAAGGCCTTGGGTGAGTCCAGCTGGCTGTCCACCAGCAGAGAGAACTTCTGCTCTGTCAGCGGGAAGTAGTCCACCTTGGGGGGGAGGAGCACAGGGAGGAGGGGAGCACTGAACGACACAGCAAGACCATGAAGGAATTCACTCTGCCCAGACTAGCCTTGCTCAAAATGATTTACACATGGCTCAACCAATCTGGCTTTGACCCCTGGCTTTTTAGTTTAGTATAACTTTTTTTTTTTTTTCCATAATCTTATCTTTTGGGACAGGGTCTCTCTGCATAGCCCTGGCTGTCATGGAATTTACTTTGTAGACCAGGCTGGCCTTAAATTCAAATGCCTGCCTCTGTTTCCCCAGTGCTGGGGTTAAAGGCGAGAGCCGCTAGAGCCGGCTACACTTCATAGTTTCTGGGGAATGCCACAGTTTGTCTGGAGTTCAGATAACAAAATGTAGGAGTTATTTCTCTCCCTTTGCAACCTGGAGCTCAGGATCAAACTCTGGTTTTCAGGCTTGTGTTTGCCCGCTGAGCCATCTCACCAGCACCACTACCCCTCGTGATACGAGCCCAGGCTGGCCTCAAACTTACCATTTAAGCAAGGATGATCTTAAACTTCTGATCCTCCTGCCTCAACCTCCCACATACTGAAATTACATGCCCCGTCTATACAGTGCCGGGGGTGGAACCCAGGACTCCACGCACGTTAGATAAGCTTCTGCCGGCTGAGCCGCCCCCCCCCCCCCCCACACCGAGTGGTTTGACTTGACCTTCTCAGCCTGTTCAGTGGTTTGTAAAGCAGAGCTCAGAATAACTTCCAACCACGTCTGCTTCGCAGAGCTGATGTGAAGGTCATGAGGTAGTGCACGTGATGAAAATCTCCCCTGTATACTGAACTGTGTTTCAGACATGTAATCATTTGACATTTTCTTCCATACCACAACCACGATCCTGAGACTGTGGCTTAACTGGCCCATCCCCTTCCACCCGTACCTGGATGAAGAGGTTTCGGTAGACCCGGGTGATGTTGACACTGTGGGGTTGACCATCGGTCACTGGCCGGGTAGTTAGCTGGTACACATAGGGACTGGTGCCCAGCTGATACCGAAGCTGTAGGGTCCCTGTGGGACAGGAAGAGGAACATGTCTCTTCCAGCTCCCACAGCCTCCATCTTGCAAAGGACCGGATCTTTGCATCGGTCAGTGTCTACAGGAGTTGGAGGTGGAGAGCCGAGGAAGACCTACCATCTTCCTTGATGAGCACAGCCATGTAGTCACGTACAAAGGAGCTGACATAGAGCAGGACAGCCGGAGCAGAGCTGGTGCTGAAGCTGAAGGAGACCTCCTCTCCAGTCACGTTGTAGACAGGCCCCCGATACCCGGGCACCGGGCGGCCAGGCCTCGGGTAGTCGGGCAGGCGGTACCCAGGGCCGTGGTAGCCAGGCACGTAACCAGGAGTGTCATAGCCTGGAATATAGCCAGGCTCATAGCCTGGTACAGGCCGGCTCAGCATGTGGGAGAACTCCTGGGCTGCGGAACGCAGTGCTGACTGCAGGTTGTAGCGCATCCACGTGCCAGTCTCAAAGAATCCACCGATATCTGAAGCAGAGATGATGAAGGTGAAGGCTCCAGACGTTGCAGGCATAGTATCTGCCACTACGTGCTCCTTTTCCCCCTTCAATTCTGGAGACGTCGTCTCAGTTTGTAGCCCAGATTTACAATCCTCCTGCCACAGCCCTTCCAGGGCTGGGATCACAGACCTGCCCCGCCCCATCCCATCTAGCACTAAATAGAATAATAATGATACGAGCATCTTGAAAGACCATCTGGTCTCACCCCTGCAGTTTACAGGCAGGGAGACATAAGCCTAATAGATGGGTAATGGTGTCCCAAAGGGCTAAGGTTAGAATTGAGGCATCCTAACTCCATTCCCTGTAGCATCCTTCTCTGTATCTCCCTAGACCACCAGACTCCACCCACAGTGACCCATCTGCCCCATAGAGTACCTTGGGCCAACCTTAGGAAAATGGAGGCTGGGATATGTTGATTTTCAAGGCTCCTCCCAACCAAGAGCCAGCTCGTTGACATGTTTTGGGAATGCAGTGATAGGGCCAGAAGTGGCAGGGGAAAAATGTATTGTGAAGCCAAAGTCAACATCAGAGCTAGGAGACTTGTTCAGTTGGTAAAGTGCCCGCTGTGCGAGCACGAGGACGAGAATTCAGTCCCTAGCACCCACAAAAAGCTAGATGTGACAGCACACACACGTAATCCTGTTGCTGGGGAGGCAGAGGCAAGAGACTCCGAGGCTCGCTCTGTAGCGAGCCTGCCTAATTG